AATGATTTGAACTCATGGATTGAAACACATCTGTCTTTATGTTCATCATAGAACCTAACACTGTGGTTTATGCACAGTAGGTACTCAACAAGTTAATGATATATATTTTTAAAGAATTTTTATATCACTAGGTGCCTAGCATTGCGCTGGGTGTTATAGCAGCTACAAAAAAGCCCGACAGGACTCCTGGCTGGCTCAGTCGGGAGAGCATGCGATTCTTGACCTTGGGGTTGTGAGTTCAAGCCCCACATTGGGCATAGAGCTTACTTAAAAAAACAAAACCAAACCCAAACCCAAATACCCTTAAAGATAGAACTACCCTATGATCCAACAATTGCACTACTAGGTATTTACCCCAAAATGCTAATTCAAAGGGATACATGTACTCCTGTTTATAGCAGCATTATCTACAATAGCCATATTATGGAAACAGCCCAAGTGTGCATCAACTGATGAATGGATAAAGAAGATGTGGTATATATATGTATATGCGGTGTGTGTATAATGGAATATTACTCAGCCATAAAAAGAATGAAATCTTGCCATTTGCAACGATGTGGATGAGCTAGAGAGTATTAGGCTAAGTGAAATAAGTCAGTCAGAGAAAGACAAATACCATATGATCTCACTCATACGTGAAATTTAAGAAACGAAACAAATGATTACAGGGGAAAAAAATAGAGAGAGAGAGAGAGAGAGGCAAACCCAGAAACGGACTCTTAATTATAGGGAACAGACCGATGGTCCCCGGAGGGGAGGTGGGTGGGGGGATGGGAGAAATAGGTGATGGGCATTAAGGGGTGCACTTGTGATGAGCACCAGGTAATGTATGGAAGTGCTGAATCACTATATTGTGCACCTAAAACTCATGTTACGCTGTATATTAACTAAGTGGAATTTAAATAAAAACTAAAAAAAAAAAAACACCAAAAACCCAAACACCCTCTCCTCCCTCAATAAACTTCCTTAAAAAAAAAAAAAAAGTTGTGCCCTTATCCCTAACTGTATAAACTTACATACTTGTAAAAGGAGATCTCATCATGGAGCAAGCAAGCCTAGCTAAGACAGTCTCTTTTAAAACAGGGTGAGGAGGCCATAAGGGTGGAGGAAATTTATACATATCCTCATCAGAGCAACTGTCAACTTTTTGAACTTTTAAGCCAGCCTCAAGTCCTCAGCCTGGAGTAACTCCTTCCTCAGCATGCAACTCAGGGCAACTTGAGATCCTCGGCCTCCTTCACTTGGAAAGGAGCCCGCTCAGTTTAACAACCTTCCATCCCTCATTTGCATACTGACCCACCCAATTCCAGTTACCTCCCCCTGCCCCAGGTTTCAATCCCTCACTCACGGGCAGGACCTAGATGAAAACGACGTGTGTAAACTTTCGCCTTTGTAACTCTTGCCTCCCTCTTTGTCTTCCTCAGGACACATGTTAGGTTTCTATACCTGAAACTGCATCTCCTAAATTGCAATTCTAATTGCTCAAATACACATGTTTGCTTTAATTTTCAGTGAATTTTCTTAGTCGACATATTGTTGAGATGATAGAGCAACAACTTAAAAAACTATATAAAAGAATCTACAGTTTAATACATTTGCCAAAATTTTAGCCAAATACATTGCATAGTTGCTCTCAAAGTATTCTAATTTTAGGTTCTGCCACACGTGAGAAACAACTACCTTGGACAAGAAGATAAAGTTCTCCAGGGGGCTGGGGTGCTCAGTCCGTGAAGTGTCTGCCTTCGGCTCAGGTCATGATCCCCTGGGACTAAGCCCTGCATGGGGCTCCCTGCTCAGCGGGGAGTCTGCTTCTCCCTCACCCTCTGCCCCTCCCCATGCTTGTGTGTGCGCACTCTCTCAAATAAATAAAATCTTTAAAAGAAGCAGGTAAATTCCTCCATGGTTGGCAGAACTGAAGGTCATCAGCTCAGTAAAGAAAGCTCAATCAGACTTTTAATGTGTTTTTCAGGTTCTTTCTATTCTATGACAACCTAAGGTATTCAGGTTTTAGAATTATGAGGAAAAGCACAAAAAGACTCTAGGATGTTCCGGAAAGCACATACCAAGTGGGTAGGAACTGAAGGTGGCGATGAAAAAGTGGCTGGGTTAGCGGAAGCACAGGATGGAGGGAAGAGACTGCCTCTTGGTGAGTGGCTTCAGATGTCGGTGGCTTTGAGGTCTGTGCTCCCAGGCCCAGGCCCCCAACCTTGATCTAGAAAATCTAAGAAGAGGTGCGGGTTACTGAATAGAGCACTAGATTAAAAGTCTGCATTTCCTGACCTCAAAGAACTTGTGAACAACAAAACAAAAACACAAAGATATGAAAAAAAGTTTGATTTAGCTGTAGCTGGGCCTCCCTCTGGCTCCAGGTCAGAATACTGGCGTTTCAGCATTGAATTAAAGCAAAAAAACACGTACAGTCGGCCTTTGAACTACAGAGGTTTGAACTGCACAGATCTACATTATGCAGATTTTTTCCCCCGATAAGTACAGTACAGTAAATGTACTTTCTCTTCCCTCTGATTTTCTTCATAACATTTCCTTGTCTCTAGCTTGATTGTAAGAATACAGTATAGAATACATAAACATACAAACATGTTAATCGACCGTTTAGGTGATTGATAAGGCCTCCCGGGTCAACAGTAGACTAGTAGTAATTAAGTTTTGGAGGAGTCAAAAGTTACCCATGAAGTTTTGACCGTGGTGGGTGCCCCTAACCGCTGTGTTGTTCAAGGGTTAGCTGTGTTTTCAGAAGTTATTTATTACTTCATTCCTCTTATAAGCATGAACCTTAAAAGGTACCTTATGTTGGCCTTTGAATAAGCAGGCACTGACTGACGTTTTCCACGGGTGTTAAAATATTTGGGGAGCTTTTGCACAATTGCCTTTTGGGGTTATACAAATAAAGTCTTAGCACCATAGAAATTCTGTGGTAATTTCTATTCACACCGGGCTGTTATGTGTTGATGTAAAGGGGACTATTTCAATATGTTCAGCCCATTGAGTATGTGGCAGAACACAGAGCCTGCCTTTAAAACTGTGGGTTGGCATCATTGGAGTTGCCCCTCATGTCCTGGCACCAGGGACCTGCTATCTTAGCGGGCCCTGACCTTCTTTCCTTCTTATCATCCATAATCCCCTCAAGTGTGTGCTTTAAAATGATTTCAGAGCCCTGAAGCTTTGAAACGCCTCTCTTCACTGCCCCACTGTGTATGGGTCTTCCCATCAGCTAACGTCGCTGATTTCTGCTAGGCACTGTAGGACGGACAGCAATGTGACACACGGAATTAAAGGCATTCACACCAGGGTGTGAGCAAAAGATCAGCATATTTCCCATCCCATCGGCCCCTGAATCCACACAAGCCATTTGTAACTCTCCCAAAGACACCCACTGTTTAAATAGGCTAATGAATGAATACCTGAAATCTGGAAATGTGACTAGGTAATTAGCGGAAGATGAGGCACCCTGATGAGGTGGAAAATTCTGGGCAGTGGGTGGGGTGGGAAGCCTTCCTGATGCCCTCAAATCACACTGCCTGCCCTGGGGCTTCTTCATGTCCATCTCTCGCAGCGGCAAGTGTCCAGCAGAGAACATTTGCCAATGGGAAACACACTGATTATGGGGTGGGCTCTGGGGGGGGTGGATTAAAGGAGAAAAGACCCCCCAAAATGCAGCCCTCTTTTATGTTGGGTGTGTGAAGAGCTCAGAACACTTTATAACTATGATCCCATTGGGTATTTAGAACAATTAAATCCCTTCGATAATTAAAATCGGTCATCAGTGGGCATTCAAGAGATCCACTCTATGCGTACTGCCCTGGTTTGCAATCTGCGGTGGGGCTGTTGTCTGCTAGTCTCCCTTACTTTTCGGTCTCTAACCCGGTTGTAACTGTCTGTCCTTTTTATTCTTCCTAGAAGGGGTACAGCCGGTTTCTCTCTCCCCTCTCTGAGGTGTGAGTCGCGAGTGTTTATTTTTGCCTCAGAGTTGATGGATAGTGTCCGAGATTTAAGTTTTCTCTACTTTCGTAACATTCCCCTTTAGAATTGCTCTTGTGTTCCAGGCCGGGCTGGAAGACAGGTTCGTCAGCGCTTCGGAGTTCCAAAGTGGACCCGGGGCTCTTCTTGGCTGCTGTCGGTAGGGCTGGACATTGTCACTGACTGAGGCCAGCCTGCCCCGGAGGGAGTAAGTGACTTGCACAGGCCTGGGTGTCCCAACCCTCCCGGCGGCGAGCTGAGTGGAACGAGAGGCGGTCGGGACTCAGCCCTCGGGGAGAGGCAGGGGTCCTGCGGCCAGAGTCCGGCCTCCCCCACCTCGGCGGGCTGGGCCCTGGTTTCCGGGGACGGAGACCGCCGGCGGGATCGCCAGCACTGCCCTCCTCTCCGACGTCCCGATCGCCCCGACCGCCAGCCTTTGTCCCGCACCCCCTCACCAGCCGTCCGTCGGGTTGCATCCGACACGGGGACTCCCTCGGTAATTACCAGCAGCTTGGGCGGCTGGTGGGAAGCCCACCTCGCGGGGAGCGGGGCAGCGGGGCCAGGGCTCCGTTCCGGCGTTCCGGGAGGACTGTGGGCAGGTGAGGGGGGAGTCCCGGGAGGGGCCAGAGGTCAGCTAGGGCGCCGGGAAGGGCGCAGGGGTGGAGGTGGGGCGGGGGCACGGGAGAGGGGCTGGAGGTGAGCCGGGGGACAGGGGGCGAGCGGGGGTGGGGGCGGGGCGGGAGGTAAGGAGGCGTGCCGGGACGCGGGGGCCCGCACGGGGCAGGGGGCATGGGGGCTCATGGGCGGGGCTGGAGGTGAGCCCGGGTCGGGGGCGGGGGCTGCCGTGGGCGGGGGGGGGCGGCCGGAGGGGGCCGGGCGCGGGGCGGGGAATGCAGGGCGGGGGCGGGGCTCCGGAGGGGAAGTGGGTGGGGCGCCGCCGGGAAAGGGGCGGGCGGGGAGAGCCTTTGGGGCCGGGACAGCGGCGGCGGAGGCGGTTGGGCAGGCGCGTGGCCGGGTCCGGCGCGATGAGCGGGGCCGGAGCGGCGCCGGGGGTGGCGGACGCGGTCCGGGGGCTGCGGGTGGACGGGCTGCCCCCGCTGCCCAAGAGCCTGAGCGGGCTGCTGCACTCGGCGTCGGGCGGCGGCGCGTCGGGGGGCTGGCGGCACCTGGAGCGGCTGTACGCGCAGAAGTCGCGCATCCAGGACGAGCTGAACCGCGGGGGCGCGAGCGGCGGCGGGGCCCGGGCCGCGGGGCTGCCCGCCAAGCCTCCCAACCTGGACGCCGCGCTGGCCCTGCTCCGCAAGGAGATGGTAAGGGGAGCTCCGCGGGCTGGGGCGGGGGGTGTTCCTCCGTCCGGGCTCGCCGTCCCGGGAAAGTTCGCCGGGACCGGTGCTCTGTCCGGAAGTCCCCGCGCCCACCCGCCCCTTTCTGGCCCTTTTGCCCCAGGCGCCCTCGCCGAGAGAGGAGCACTGTCCTCTCAGCAGCCCCCTTTTACTAGTCCTCTCTGTTCACGGTGGGACCCTCACCCGGGGAGGCTTCCCACTGAAAAGGCAGTTTTCGGAGTCCGGGCGCCCCAAGTCCGGCCCCAGCTGGCTCGGAAACTGGCGGCGGGAGGCGCGGCGTGGGGTTCACTCGTGGCCTCGCGGCGGGCGCGGCTTGGTCACCCCTCTCCGGAGTGAAACAGACCTCCCGGGTCGGGGAAAGGCTTTCACTGCGGCGGCGGGGTTTAGAGCTGTGCGCGATTGTATTTTTCTGCCTTGGAGAGGACAGTTTTTGTCCGCGCGAGTGTAGACAGCAGATTGGAACGGCCCTCGCCCCCTCCCCCGCGCCCCAGGCGGCGCGTGCAGAATCCGATTACTGCGGGATGGCTTCGGCCCCAGATGGCTGTGAAGGCGAACGCTCGGCCCCTCCCCTCTCAGCGCGGTGGGGCCGAGCCCCCAAGACCGCTTGAGAAGAATGGAGGGGGTGCGCTCCCCGTCTGGGTGAAGCCCGTGTAGGTTCTTCGGGCTGTGTGTGCGCGCCAGACAATGGGGCTTAGTCCTTGGGAAGTACATTTGATGTGTGTGGACCGGGAGACACGATTTCAGGTGACGCCAAAAGCAGGACGAGGGCAGGGATTTAGGGGGCATTGAGCCTTTCTCCAGCTTTCGCCTCCAGGCTTAGGCCAGGCTAGCTGGTAACTGGAAAACTTCCTCCTTTCCATGCTCTCGCTGGCCCCTGATCACCTACCCCTGGCCACCCGCTCTCTTGGAATCTGCCCCTTCCTTTCTTTTAGTGCAGGTTCTAAGTACAGGTAAAAACTTTACTAAGGAAATCTAATCTATGAAAGCTGCTTTTTCCCCTAAGAATAAATTTGCCAAAAAGCTTATCACAGAAACCCTTTAAATATGCATCTAGTACTTTAAGATATTGTTTAGAAACATTCAATTTATGCCTCCTTGTTTTTTCAGGAGCAAATCCATTCTGAAAAGTAAGACTTAATTAAATCGAGAAAAGCAGCCTTAAATTAACATTTTTAAATCAATTAGATATTGTCTTCCCACTCTAGCTGGCATTGAAATTGTGATTTCCAATCCTCTCTGAATAGATTTTCTAAGCTTCTTACAGAATGACTTAAATTCCAAGACGACCGTTTTTATTTATTAATAAACATTAATGGACTCAGCATTGCACAGCTGACGAGCTGTATTTTAATTAGATAAACCTACACCTAGTATGTTTATGGTCTGAAGTTAGATGTAGCCTAAGTATGGGAGTGAAATGGGAAGGCTCTTCCTGGGTTAAGTCCCATTCTGGAAGAGACAGGAAACCCTCAGGGCTGCTCCTATTGTGAAACTCCGGTTTATAACGTGCTCTGGTGGTTTGGGAGTCAATGTGCCATTCCCGAAAGTATTTTTCCAGGTCCCTCCTGGTGCAACTGCAGAACAGCCCACAACCTTGTAATTATGCCTTGGACCAGAGCACTCTCTAAGCCTAACCGTTTGAAGCACAGGGAAAATAAACAGCCACCTTTGGTCCGTCTGATATTTAGCTGCGAGACAGATAAGGAAGATATGGCTACAGGCCTTGACAGGTCCTTTCACAGAATGTCACAAGGTCTTTTTAAAAGTGCTGTAGGTCTGTTGGCTTTAAGAGATTTACTAACCTGGGGCAGCAGGGTCTGAGTGGTAACCGAAGCTGAGTTCATTCCTGAATTATCTGTGGAATAGTTTGTGTTGATCTATTTAATTGGAAGGCCTGAGGTCAAATCCGTGTCAAGGGACATGCTAGCAGGTCGTGGCAGAATGTGATTAATCCCTTTTTCAAAAAGTCCTGTGCAATCACAGATTAATGTGATTAATCTTTTTTTTTTTTAAGTCCTGTGGGAGCAGTGGTGGTGTGGGAAGGCCTCTGAAGGCAACAGAATTTTCTTTTTCTTTTTCTTTTTTTTTCTTTTTTGCAGGAAAGGAGCAGCAAAGCTGGAATAAGGGAATAGTGCCAATGTGATAACAGGCCGTAGAAAGAGCGGGAAGCGGGAGATGCCAGATGTATGCTTGGAGAAGGGGAGAGCCTCCAGCGGGGTGGGGGCCAGTGAGTGGGAAACAGAAATCCAATGGGGGACACTGCTCTGATGCAGAAAGTGCAGGAATTGCCAGTTAACTATTCGAGGCTGGGAGGTGACTTCAGCATTTTTATGGAAAGTGCGGCTAAGCAAAACAATTAAAAATTACTCACAGTCCAAGCACCTAGAGATCATCACTGTTAATAGTTAGGGAAATCTCCTGTGTAGGCACAATGTGAATGCTTTCTATACATCATAACTTCTCCGTGAGATGGATACGCAACGTCTATTTTATTTATTTATCTATTTATGTATTTATTGGAGTATAGTTGACACAGGATGTTACATTAGTTTCGGGTGTGCAACATAGTGACTCAAGTCTGTTTGTTAAGGTGTGCTCACCACAGGTGTAGCTCCCATCTGTCACCATACAAAGCTATTACAGTACCACTGACTATATTCCCTATGCTGTGCTTTTCATCCCTGTGACTTATTCATTCCAGAACTGGAAGCCTGTATCACCCACTCCTCCCCACCCATTTGCCCATGCCCCCCACTCTCCTCCCTCTGGCAACCATCACTTTATTCTTTGTATTTATAGGTGTGATTCTGCTTTTTGTTTGTTTGCTCATTTGTTTTGCTTTTTAGATTCCACACATAAGTGAAATCATATAGTATTTGTCTTTCTCTGACTTATTTGACTTAGCATAATACCCTCTAGGCCCATCCTGTTTTATATATTTTTTTAAAAATCACTCAGAATTTAACTCCCCTACAATCACATATTCAACCAGATGTGTTCCAAAGCCCTGTGTGTGTGTGTGTGTGTGTTTAAGATTTTTTATTTATTTATTTGAGACAGAGCACAAGCATGGGGAGTGGCAGAGGGAAGAGGGAGAAGCAGACTTCTCCCGGGGAGCCTGGCGCAAGGCTCAATTCCAGGACTCTGGGATCATGACCTCAGCCACCCAGGTGCCCCCCAAAGCCCTGTTTGAACCATTGCATTATACTGCCTGCCTGTGTGTGCACTCACACAAACACAGATACACACAGATCACATTATACATCCTTATTTGCTTTTTCGGGGACACATAGTGCAAAGGTTTTCCTAGTCAATACACATTATACTGTGTACAGTAACTGTGGTATGCCATTGTGCGACACGGTAATAACTTTGCAAAGCCATCACTGGGAAGGTGAGCTTCATTGCAGCAATGGCGGAGTCAAGAGGAGTGGCTCCTTGGGGGAACGGTGGTTGGCCGTTACATCAATGGAGGAGTATGTCACACATTTAAGAATGAGGAGCTGGAGGCTGGGAAAGAGACTTGGGCCTGGTGATACGCACTTGAGGGATGGCGAGGGTGGAACCCGGGGCAGTCGGCATCCGGGCCTTGTGAGGGCGCAGGGTTCCGTCCCGTGATTGGTGGCGCTGTGCTCTCCTTGAGAATCGTGGTTTCCACTGCACCCCGAGTTTCAGCACTTCGCACTCAAGAAACCCCTCTTCTGTGAAGCTAGGTGCTGCCGCGGGTCCCCAGCCCCTGCCCCAGTGGGCCCATTTGGAAAGCCATGAGGGTCACACAGATGGTTACTGCTCTCTAGACCAGAAAGAATCCTTTAAAGCAAGAGGCTGAGTTTGTGTTTTGTTTTCTTTAAACATCAGATGATATTTTAAAATCTCACTCCACAGATGTTTAGGGGGTGTGCGTTAGGTGTAAAGTGCTGCGGAGGTAACAAGAATGAATGGGAACTCTCTAGCTCCTAAGGAGCTTCCACCAGCTGGTCGATGTGGTCATTACAGCAATGGGGAGTGCTGTGGTTCAGACCTGTTCTCAGTGTTCTTGACTGGAGTCTCTGTATTAGTAATCATAACTCAGCGTGAACTAGCTCTTGCAAAAGGAGAATCTTGAAGGGCTGGACATACACAGAGGCAGCTAGAGCCAGGGCTGACGGGGCCCCCAGAAAGTCCCCTGTAGGCTTCTCTCTCCCCCAGCATTTTGTTTTCCTACTTCTTTGCACCATAGCTGCTAACCGGGTCAATGCTCAGGTTTGGCCATGCTTCTTAGTTCCAGTTTGTAAATACTGTGTGGAAGGACGCCGGTGGGCCCAGCTTGGGTCATCTGGCCAGTCTGGGCCAGCTAGCAGTGACTGAGAACAGGATTGCATTTTACCGAGATAGCGTGACCATGTGGATGGGGTGGGTGTGGGGGTGCTGGGGATTCCTGCAAAGAAAGGCCAGCTTACAGAAATAGAGCAGGGGGCTGCTGGACAGCCAAACTATTAGATACACAGACCTCTTCCTATGTAAAAATACTTTGCCCTGAGGGGACCCACAGTTTGAAAGATTCTTATCTGCTAAGCTGACAAAGTCACCTTTGCTCAGGAGACCTCAGTTGGCATTTCAAATCCTTGCACGGGCCTGAAGCATCAGCCGGGACCCCTGACACATGCGTTCCTTGAAGTTTGTACATAGACCACCCACCTAGCAGCTCTGTGACATTAGCTCATCAAGCTTGGATACCCCAAGGAGTCACAAAAGCACAGACAGAAGATCCTCAGATATTGGGGGGAGGGCAGCATCCCCGGGGGTTCTTGGGTTTTGCCTCCCAAACCAGCAGGGGCAAGTTCTAGTAGCTTTGACTTGGAACCCCCTTTTTTTTTTTCTTAGAACTGTCAAGTAGTGGGGCAGCTGGGTGACTCAGTGGGTTGAATGGCCCACTCTTGATTTCGGCTCAGGTCATGATCTCAGGCTTGTGAGATAAAGCCCAGCAG